CCAAGAGACCTCGGTAAATCGTATTTCCCAGAGCTTTCCGGGAACATAATTCCTTGGGCTTCCGTCCACCGCCCCAACCATGTTTCCAATAGGCTTGCCGACATGGCCAACAAGAGCCCCTCGGTAAGCCCCCAGAGGCCCCCCTGTTCGGAGAGCCGAACAAATCATGTTCCCGGAAAGCTTCCTGGGAGCATGATTCTCGGGTTGCCGCCTTCTCCCCAAACCATGTTCCCTAAACGCCCGCCAGGATAAAAACACGAGAGTCCCAAGCAGCGCTACCTGCCGTCACGCTCGGAAACGCGTCAGGTTCCGAAGCCTCCGGAGGCGCCCAACGACACCCCAACAAATCATGTTCCCAGGAAGTCTTACGGTCAGTGCCGCCGACGTTGAAGGAGGACGGTCCAGGACACCCAGAAATCTCCCAAACAGGTTTCCAAGAGGGCGCCGAGACAGCCCAGGGCCGCCCCCAGACGGCCCAAGAAAGCCCCAACACAGACGAAAAGGGCCGCAAGAGGCCCCCAGGAGGCCCCGAAACGAGGACATATCGTTCGAACGCGCCCAAGATGGCCCCCAGACGGCCCACAAGGCTTCCAACACGGCCCAAAGGGACGCCAAAATCATTGATTGTCTTTCGATTTTTGATGGATTTCAGAAACCCCACGAGGGCGCCGAGACGGCCCACGAGGGCGCCGAGACGGCCCAGGGACGCCTTGCCGCGGGCACGAGGTGGGGCCCGGGATGGGGCCCTCGCGCCGGGAGGCCCGGGGGCCCTGCCGTGGCGTTGGGGGCTTTGTAAAGTCGCCAGAAGACGGCCCTGGATTGCCAGAAATGGCGTTTCCAGACAACGAACACGACCAATGACCGCCCGAGATCACCCCAGAATTGGTCCCTGACTGTCCAAGAGGCTTCCAAGACGCCCCAAGAGGTCTCCAAGATGGCTCCCAAGGAGCCCCAGGAGGCACAACTAATTTGTTTTCCTTTGGTTTTTGATCGATTTTCGAGTTCTCGCCTTTTGAGTTTCCTGACGCCCCACGACGGCCCAAGAGGCTTCAATTTCCGCTCCAAGGCATCCCCAGAGGCCTCGAAGACGGTCTCAAGACAGCCCACGGGGGTCCCAAGACGGCGCCAGAGGCGTCCAAGGCGGAGCGAGAGGGCCCCAACACGGCCCCAAGATGGAGGGTTGACACGACCCGAAAATCCGAGTCTTCCATCCCGAGAGGCTCTCAGGAGGCCCCGAGAAGCCCCTAACAGGCTCCAAGAGGCCCCAAAAAGCTCCCCTAGGGGGCCGAAGCGTATCCAAGAGGCCTCCCACGAAGGCCCCAAAAGGCACAAATCCATATCTTGCCGTAGGTGTTTGATTGACGTTAGAGTTTTCAGCCTTTTGGCGTCCTGACGCTCCAAGACGGCCCAAAAGGCCTCCAAGGCCAATCCAAGATAGCCCACGAGGCCTCCAACAGGGCCCAAGACAGCCCGAGAGGGCACCAATACGGCCCCAAGGGGGGCCCAAGAGGGGTAAGACGAACCGAAAATCCGAGCATTCCACCCCGAGAGGCTCTCAGGAAGCCCCAGAGGCCCCCAAATGGGACCCAAGAGGCCCTCAAGATGCTCCCCAGAAGGCCGAAGAGGTTCCAAGAAGCAATGTTTTCCCATCGGCTTTTGATGGACTTCAAAGTTCCCAGCCTTTTGGCTTCCCGACGCTCCAAGACGGCCCAAGAGGCCCCCAAGACCGCAGAGGCCTCCAAGAGGGCCCCAAGACGGCCCACGAGGGCCCCAAGACGGTGCCCGAGGCGCCCAAGACGGCCCGAGCCCCAAGAAGGTGAACGCGAACCCAACAGCAGAGCCTTTCGCCCTAAGAGGCCCACAGGAGGCCCCAAGAGTCCCCAAGTGGTTCGACGAGGCCCCCAATAGCCCCCCACCAGGCCCCAAATGGCTCACAGGAGACGTACACGGGGCCAATCAAAGTTGCTTCAAGGAGGCCCCGGGAGGCTTCCGGATTGCTCCAATGTGGCCTCAAGCCGGGCCTCTACGCAGCCAAGACGGCCAATTGTCTGCTTCAGGCTGCAGAACATCACTTTCCGACTGCCCGGAGAACCCTGACGATGCCCCCAAGGGACCCCAAGAAGCCCCAAGATGCCCCCCGAGAAGCACCCAAGATGTGCCTGCAACAGCCAATTGAGGAAGCATGGAGGGCCCCAGAAGCCCTTCAGATGCCCCCACGAAGACCCAAGAGGTTTCCAAGAGGCCCTCAGGAGGCACGACTATGTCACGCGCCTGTGCTTGATAGCGCTGTCCAAGATCCTCAAGCGCGCCCCTGGCCTGGGCTAGAACCTGAGCGCGCGCGAAGCGCGCGCGATGGTTCTAGTATGTATGTATATATATATAATTTATAATAAATAATCGAAGACGCCTACGGCGAGTCACCGCCGCCCCCTGCCTTCTGGAGTCGCCCATGTGGCCGAGCGTTGTGGCAAGAGCTCTGCCGAGCTAGTGGCCGTCGGCCCTTCTGAGGGGTGCTTCGTGGGATCTCTTGGGAGCGCTCTCGGGGGCCTCTTGGGGGCAGTTTGGCGGCCTCTTGGGAGCCTCTTGGGGGCCTCGTCTTGGGGGCCTCTTGGGGCTTCTTTGGGGCCCCTTTTGGGAGCCTCTTTTGGGGCCTCTTTTGGGTGCCTCTTTTGGGGGCCTCCTGGGGGGCCCTCGGGGCCGATGACTCGAAATGTCTTTCTATAATCAGAGAAGAAACAAAGAACACATAAATGTTCGAAGCTCCGCGCGGAGCTCTGAAAGTTTGTGTCTGTGCCGTCGCCCGTTCCTCTGGACGAAGGTCCCGAGGGGGCCTTGCATGGGTCCAGTGTTGGGGTCGCGCGGGAATCCGCACCGTCGCTCGATCTCTACGTGGCCTCTGCGTGACGTCTGCGCGCCGCCGCGCCGAGAGGCGCTAAACTGCGCCAGGACAGGGCTCATCTCGACTCCTCCGATTCGATTCGACTCGGCTTCGGTGGCTTCCGATTCGATTCGACTTCGGATTCCGATTTGGACTTAAATTTCTCAATGGGAGCTTATTGGCCTGCCGATGTCCGCCGATTCAACTTCTCCCGACTAGGCTGCCGATCTCCGCTTATCCGATTCATTTCGATCGCCGATCCGACTTATCGGTTCGATTCAATTACTAGTTCGACTTTCGATCGCCGATGGCACGTGCGCCCTGCCGAGATCTGCTCGGGTGCACGCGGGTAGTCCTCGGACCTTCATTATACAGGCCACCGCCAGATTGACGGAAACTTGATGGTCGTTGTCATCATCACCGCCATCGCCAGCATCATCCCCGCCATGAAATTTAATCCCAAACGAACCCAACACATACCAAGATACATCCAACATTGACCCGTCATAGATTCAGCGCAAGCCCAAACTATGTTCCGATAGACCCTCGCAGGGTGCATGGGTGGCGCGAAGCTCCGAAATCTCGCGCGGAGCACGTTGATGGAAGAACATAGTATTATAGGGCCTGCGCGGCATTCCTAAATCTCGTGCCAGCGTGACGAGACGTGTTGCAAGTCTACGATGGCGCCGCGCGAATATCTGATATCTCGCGGCGCGCTCTCGCCATGATCGCTTGAGCGTCGCGGTGATTACTCCGCGCGAGCCTTGCCGCATCAGTGGCATAGCACCCAGGAATGGGCCGCAGCGCACAGATCCAACATCGAACGGCCGATCCATGACGAGCGATCAATCGGCTTACATCAGGACCCAGTTGGTAGGGCGACGCCGCAGCGCATTCGAAACCTCCTCTGTCGCAGCGGTTCGATTCCGCACTGCCTGCGTGCCGACAGCGAGAGACCCATGGCGGACACGCCATGGTGCTATGTATGGCGTGAGTTCTAGCGCGAGACTCCAGAGGTCGCGCGAACCTCGCGCGAAGTCCCCCTAGACCGTCTTAAGACATGCTGGAAGCCGCTTCAGGATTGAAGGAGGGCAGGAAAGGTGAGGAGGAGGAGGAGGAGGAGGAGGAGGAGGAGGAGGAGGAGGAGGAGGAGAGAGGGGGAGGCTGGGACAGGTGGCAGTGGCAGATGACCAGCATGCGGAGAAAGGTGGGGAGGAGGGAGGCATGAGGAGGAGAGGAGGGGGGGGGAGGGGCGGGGGGGGGGGGGCGGAGTTGGGGCGGGGAGTGGGGGGGTGGGGCGAGGAGGGGAGGAGCAGGGCAGGAGGGCCCTTCCCTGGCGACGCCTGCCCCGCGCGGCCCAACCCGGGGCTGAGCCGACGGGGCGGCAGCGGACCCACCTCACCACCTTGGGGGGGGAGGGGGCGGAGTTGGGGCGGGGAGGGGGGAGGGGGGGGGGGCGAGGAGAGGAAGAGCAGGGCAAGGAGGGCCCTTTCCTGCCGACGCAGGCCCCGCGCGGCCCAACCCGGGGCTGAGCCGACGCGGCGGCAGCGGACCCACCTCACCACCAGCAGGGGAGCCGAGGGTGGCCGAGGGCGAGAACGAGCGAGCGCAGCGACGAGGGCACGGCGGCAGCACACCCGCCTGAGTCTCGGTAGGGGGCGTCGAGGATGGACGAGGACGAGGGCGAGGACCTGCAGTATAACCAGATCGTTAGACGGGTTGCCGTACAGGTTGCCGTCGGCATGATTGCTCCGCATCGGGGGCGAGGATCCGAAGTGGATTTTGCTGGTGCCAGGGCCACAGGATTTCATCGAGGCCGGCAGGGCCCGCCCCTCTCACTCGGTTTGGCCAGCAGTTTTACACATCAGAGACGGACGGGGGAGAAAGAAGAGCGCAGTCGAGATTGATTAGTAGGTCGACCTTTCCAACTCAAGGGTGCCCTTGGATCCTGTGTTTCGTGAAACGCGTCCTCTGCATTCCTGGGGCAGTGCGGCCCACGGAAGAGTCGTGTGTCCGCTCGCGCGTTCTCCCCATTCAAAATCGATTATACGAAGAGGAGGGGGCACGGACAGGGTGGAGGGGAGGTGCTCTCGTTGCCAGTTGTCGCGCGCACGACGCGCAGGTACTTCGATATGAAGCAGAACCGCACGTCGAACTACGTCTTCAGCTACGAGAGGAGCGGCTGTCATCGCCGCTGGCGGCCGCGCCGACGACCCGGGCCGTGTGCTGCCCGCTCCCTTGCAGGGAGCTGGATGCGCATGGCGCGGCCGGCCAGAGCGAGAGCTGGACAAGCCGGGGCGCCCGCACGTAACCTCAAGACGAACAAAATGGCATAAATTTGATGTGTTCGAGCTCCGCGCGGATTTCTTGGATCGGCGCTGGGCCCCGCTAGCGGCGCCTCCAGCGCCTCCCCTGGCGCGCTCCGCGCGCCAGGGCGAGCCGCTGTTCGTTCCTCTAAGCGCCCCTCGCGTTGTGAAGCGATCATGGCGTACGGTTGTTCGCCAGTTTCGCCTTCCAGGGGCGCCTTCACCAAGCCTCGGCGCTGTCAGAAACGACTCAGGATGAGAAGCCTGTCCTGGAGGAGGGGTCCAGACCTCCGGGGTCCACGTCATGAAGAATCATAGAGTCGGGGGGTTGGGAACAGGGTTCAGCGCGGACGCAGGGTCAGCCAACCCCTTCCTGAGCCCCCCCATGTTGACCCAGCCTGGGGGTGGGAGCCATGCAGAGCCGGACTACCCCACATTTACCTTGTCTCCGCCGACCCAGGTAGTTTTGGAGTTGCCTCGTGGCTGGCCCATGGTCTGTGGCGTGGCCATGACTGAACCAGGGATAATCAGCGCTGCCGTGGGCCAGGTCGTCCCCACGGTTAGTATCTGCCTGCTTAGTTGCAACTCTTCGTTGCAGCTGGTCCCGCCCAATCGGGCTCCATATGAGCGACGGAGGAAAACGGTGGCGTTTTCGCGGACATTGGCGCGCAAGTTGCCCGCGTAAGGTCGCGCGTAAGCGCCCTCGTCTCCGACGTAGCGCGCCGCGCTGGTGGCCCGCGTAAGCCACCGCGTAAGGTCGCTGCGTCATCTCGCGTAAGAGGCCCAAATGGCTTCATCAATCGTTGTTGCGAGGACCAGGGCTGGACCTAAACGCTGTTTTGCTGGACTTCGGCTGTGCTTTGTGCTTCGTTTTGGCTAAGAGGTACACGAAAACAAGTGGAGCTGAACGAAAACACAGCGAAAAACAGCGCTTAGATCCGGCCCTGGCGAGGACCTCCCAGAAGTTGCTTCCCTCTACCCGGTCTGCGCGGCGCTGGCGCCCCGCCCGGCACGCGGGCAGCAGAGCGGGGAGGCGCGCTCGCGAACACGCTTGGGGCCCGTTGTGCACACTGCGAGTGGGCGACGTGGCAGTCTCTCCTCACGGACTGCGACCTGATCTCTTCCCAAGCTCTCGAGTAGCTCTTGTGAACGTTTGTGTTATTCATTGTTTTGCCGATCGGCGCGGGCCCCAAAACCCCCGCTCCCCCCCCCCATGGAGCAGATCTTAGGCTGTTTTTTGGCGCCTGTTTCGAGCGGGTGGAATCTCCCCAAGAGGCCGCACTCTTCCAAACAGTCGCACTAAGCAGAGGTCTGGAGCTAGACCCCCCCTCCCCCCCCCTTGCCGCCCAATGTCGAAGCGCCACATAAAAAACGCTCACCTTCATGATGAGGAGGGAACGAATCGGACGGGGCCAGGACGAGGATGCATCCGTTCCGGAGCGTTCTGGAACGCTCTCAGAGCATTCTGGAACGCTCTGAGAAGGCCGCAGGGCTCGAGACGTCCTCCAGAGCCGCCGGATCTCAGAGATTGTCGATTCATCCTCGTCCAAAGTGATCTTCGTCTCGGCTTCGCCTCAACAAGAAAACACAGCCAACAGAAAACGCTCGCGAACACAGCCGCGCCCCGCGCAGGACGCCTGGGGGGGGGGCCGGGGCACACGGCGGGCCGCGAGCGGCAGGAGAGGCCGAAGAGAGCGAGAGGGATGCGATCCTCCGGGCCGCGCTTCGGGCCGCCTGGGCCCCCAAACGGGGTGCTGACCACACCGTGTGGTGGGTCGGTGGGGATTCGGGGTCACCGCACGGTTTTGGGACTCGAGTCCCTCTTCGAGGATGTCTCGGGCGACAGGGGCCTCCGAGGTCCCAAAACCGTGCGTTGACGGACCGTGCGGTGAGGTCTTCGGCAGTTCGCCTCCGAGCAGTTCGCCTCATCCTGGCAGTTCGCCTCCGAGCATCGGGGACTCGAGTATTCCGGAGTACGTTGGCCCTCCCCCGCCGTGCCCACGGTTAGCCAACACGTGTGCTGGACCTGCATGATCGGTACGATCGACATAGGCACGGACGAAGACCGACAACACTCCTTGCCCATTCCGATCAGGACTTGCGGTCGGTACCACAGCGGGAGGTACAAGGCTGCCTCCCAGCAGTGCACCTCCGTAGGGCTCGAGTGCTCCTGAACTCGGGTTAAGTCGGGCGTGTCCCTCTACAGGAGGAATATTCAAAAATAGTCAAAAAATAGTCTGGTGACTATTTTTTGCATTTTCTGCGTATTTTCGAATGTTTGGGGGTATTATTTTTCGTCAAACATCTCCCTGTAGGGGGACATGCCCGACCGAAAACTCAGGTTTGCCGACGCCTTTTGACGAGCGCGTCCTGGGTTTTGACGGTCCAGTGTCCGTGGGAGGTCTGCAGCAGGAGCTCGCGTCAAATTTCTGGCTGGGTTTCTTCATTGTCATGATGGCCCAGTCAGGCCAACCCGAGTCCCCCGAACCCGAGTCTTACGTCTCCCTGGAAGTAGATGGGATCGAAAGATCGCTCCGCCTCGCCGATGCATCGACGATGCAGCTCGACGTGGAGCCCGATGTTTTCGATGCTGACGTTGCCGTTGCATCGACCATACGGCGCGATCCTCCGACACCATTTGCTCGGAACCTATCTGGGATGTTTCTATTCTCCTCATCCTCCTCCTTCTCCAACGAGCAAGTAGCAGCCTTGCCGCAAGCGAGTCTGAGTCTGAGTCTTCTCGTCTTCCTTCTCCTCCCTCCCTCCCTCCCTCCTTGTTCCTCTCCCTCCCCCTCCTTCTAGCTAACGCAGTTTCCGCAGGCTGCTCAACGTGTCCAGGTGCCCACTGTTCCGTCTGGCCACCGGGGGGCGCCCCAGTTGCCGGAGCTGGCATGCGGATTTCTTGCTTTGTCTCGTTTTGTCCAAATGAGCAACGCAGAAAAACGGTGGCGTTTTCGCGGACATTGGCGCGTAAGTTGCCCGCGTAAGGTCGCGCGTAAGCGCCCTCGTTTCCAATGTGGCGTGTTGCGCTGGCGGCCCGCGTGAGCTGCGGCGTAAGGTCGCTGAGTATTTCCTCTCGAGTAAGACCCTTTTGTCGTCGCCCAGACGGGATCAGAGTACATTCGGACGAGGCTAGGACGAGGATAAATCCGTTCCAGAGCGTCCCCGAACGCTCTGAGAAGGCCGCGGGGTTCGAGACATCCTCCAGAGCCACCACTCAGAGATTCTCGATCCATCCTCACCCGATGTTATCTTCGCCCTGGCTTCGCCTTACAGATGGGGTCCGATGACCGCGCCGCCTCGCCGATGCATCGGCGATGCGGCTCGATTCGGAGCTTGAGCTGCTGCATCCCCACGTCGCCGATGTACCGGCGATGCGGCGCGCGTCTCCGACCCCACTCGTCGACGCCGCCGCCGCCGCAGTCGACGTCCTCGTCGTCGTCCGTCGTCGTCCGTCGTCGTCGTCGTCGTCGTCGTCTTCCGTCGCTGGGAGAGCCGCGGCTTCAGCAGCGCACGCCACTGTCGAGCACCCCGGATATGTTACCCTCGAGAGAACGGAGCGTTCCTAGAGGTGCTCGCGCCGCGAAAGAAAAAGCACTGGCTGCCACTGGGGGCCCTGGCTAGGCCCCAGAGCCGTCAAAAAATGATCCGCGATGAAATACTGGAGAGTCGGGACTTCTGGGGGCCCCGCATAAAAAAATCAAGACATCCTTGCGTGCGCACGTAGCCGCGTGCCTTTCCGGCGTTCCGCCCTCAGACGGCATGGTACGCAGCAGGTGGTTTCCGCATGCGCAGAAGGTCTGGTGCTCAGCACGTCCAGATCTTTGCGTGTGCGGGTTCCAGTGATTCACGGTTCTGCGCGTCACTTCACAAGCAGGTTAATCATTTTGACCGCGTTTTGGCCTGATGTTTCGTATGCCGACGGGGTTCCAGCGCGTCAGAGAGAAAATTGAGAGCGTTTGTGTCTCCAGGAGCGCCTCTTCCATTCGGGGCTCAGCGCAGTCCCTGCAGCTGGCAAGCAGGGCTCTCCGCTTGCCTTTCATCCCTAACGCTGGGCGAAGTTAGCTCGTACGTGGCCCGCGTACGCTTTCGCGACAGTCATGAAACTTCGCCAGCGGAGGAGCAGACCAGCCCGTGCTTCCAGCCTTCTGGTGCTGCCGTGTGCGTCGTGTGAGGCACAGGTACCGCCCGCCTGGAGCGCACGGGACACGGGGCGAAGGAACGCGCAAAGGCCAGAGCCGGCGGTGCGTGCGCGCGCAGAACATGCGCTGGACCTCGCGTTTTTCGAGGCGCAGGCCCGGGAGGAGAGCGAGTGTCAGAAGAGTAACAGATACAGATACTCCAGGCCTCCCAGATGGGGTCCGAGTAGATGGGATCCGAGGATCGCGCCGCATCGCCGATGCATCGGCGATGCGGCTCGATGTGGATTCCGAAATGATCCACGCCGACGTCGCCGATGCATCGCCGATGCATCGCGATCCTCCGACACCATCTGCTCGGACCCCATCTCGCAGGCCTCTACAGTAGGAGAGCGAGTGTCAGAAGGAAAAATGTATTGCGATAACGCCCCCTTCCCTCTCGTAGCCACGGCTGGATTCGCCTCGAAATTTCCCCTCTCCTGTCCCTCCCCCATTGCCCTCCCCACCCCTCCTCGTTGCCAAAGTCCCCCCATCATCCTTTCCCTCCTCTCTCAGCGGAGCGGGGATTTGTTCTCTCGCGGATGTTTCCACTGCCTTGCATTGATGCGTTCGCCATTTGACTGCTCTATTCGCTGGCTCACATCAACCCCGCTGAGCAGCTCGCGATCCCTCCAGTTCATCATTCCCTGGTCCACCCCAGGATGCTGGACCCGAAAGGGAACTCGGCCGTGTTCCTCTTCTACGCGTGAGCCCAGAGCGGGCAGAAGGAGGAGGAGGAGCGGGAAGAGGACCAGAAGTGGGAATTGGAGGAGGAGTATCAGGGGGAAACATTAGTTTGTTCTCCAAGCTTGTTCCCACTCTGCATCGGCAGAGACGCAACATGGCGTGAAGGAGGAGGAGCCGCTGGAGGAGAAGGAAGAGGAATCCTGCGAAGCAGGAGAGCAGAGGAGGGCTAGATGGCGTGAGATCACAGGCAGGCTTCCCCGGTACTCCATCAAATGGCGTGGGCGGGCAAGGATTTCGAGATGCGAGGTGCCTGGGAAACGTGCTGAGCCTATGCACGGGCGCACGGTCTCCCTTCATGTGCGCAGTCCGTTTGGCACGGCGGCATCCAGTTTCGTATGACAGTGTAATTGCGCATCGCACGGTCAAACCACTGTTCTCACCGAGGGGCAGGAGGAGGAGGAGAGCACAGGACAGGCCCGAGTGGAGCCGCGACCCCGTCCGCACCCAACTCCCCAGGCCGGATTACCACACTCGTCGTCGTCGTCGTCCTGTTCCTCCGCCTCCCTCCACCCTCTCCCTGTCCTCCCTCTTCCAGGAGGGGGAAAAAAAACACAGACACTCATAATCGTCGATTACCCCGACAATATTGGAAGACATGGGAAGTGGGGGGAAGACAAGAACCCAGAAAATACGGGAAAATAGGGGGAATCATGTTATTTGTGTGTATTTATGTGTGTGTCCCAGGGCCCCTTCACTCTTCCCCCGCCCCGGCCTGCCATTGCCCTCCTCTCTTCCCCCCTACTCTCTCTATACCTCTCTCCTCCTCCGCTCGCCTCGCTCCTTCCGTTCCCCTTCGCCCTTTCCCCCCTCTTCCCTTCGCCTCCCTCCCCAACCAACCCACCAACCCACCCCCCTTCCCCTCCCTCCCCTCCCTTTCCCTGGGTGCTCCTCACCAACCCCCCTCCCCTCCCCCATCTTTCCCCCGTTGTCCCCTCTCTTCCCGTTGCCAGTCTAGCTCGAGCTAGTTTGGCTCAAGCCATTTGGGGCTCGAGGGTGGCATCAGAGTCTCGCGCACACCGCTCGCGCCCCACAATACCTGGCACCAGCGGCACGCCATGCCGACTGGAACACTAGGTAAAGGAAGCGCCGCAGTGTGAAACATTTGCCGGGCAATATTCGGAAGAAGGCAGTTCTCGTGATTAGCCCAAGTGGAAACAAATGTCGATTGTGGAGGAAATCACACTGAACTAAAATGTTGACATGCGCTTGCGGGTTGCCATGTTAGAGTTCAGGCCAGAGAGCTCTGGCGGTTGCTTCGGGAACCCGGCCACGATTCCCGAATTCGCCCAGGAGACCGGCGGAGAAGCCAAGGCCGTTGGAGTCCAGCGCGGGTTCGGTATGGCAGTTGGCCCAGAAGAAGTTCAAGAAGTTGCGTGCCGACAATATTGAGGTGGGCTTACTAGTCAGGTTAAAGTCGTGGAGGAGATCAAGCAGGGACTCAAGCATTACCGCACCTGGCCCGTGAGCAAGCAGCTCGACGAGGCCAGGAAGGACGGCCGAACAGCATGCCACAAAGATAAGACGTGTAACGATGGCCGGGAAGGCCATGCAGCTGCTGAGGACGGCAGATCACGTTATGAAGATTTTGTTTCGTCAATATCTCCAGTTCCACCTGCATAGTCTTCTCCCTCGGATGGAAGGCAGCGCTATGTGGATCATTTTCCAGACGCATGGGGAGAGTACGCCGACGGGACAGCAATCCAATCGCAGAGCAGTGTGAGTGTGTGCGTATAGTGTATACACCGAGAAAATATCGCAAATGTTGCAGCAATTGGCAGGGAAAGCGGGAGATCCCTTGCCAGAACATCTAGAGACGCGACTCGGTAACCACATGTCTGTTCGTTGTGGTAAGTTGTTTCAAAAGCCATGAAAGTTCATGACAATGGGAGGGCTCCTTCCAGAGCGGTTTGCACACCATGTTATGCAGGAGCATTTGCATTTTGCATGTTGGTTTGTCTGGTTATGTTGAGCCGCAGCGGTCACTGTGGCTAGACCGCTACAGTTGCATGCGCGTTGGTATAGCGATGTCAAAGAACTTCTTGGGGAAGTGGCAAGCAGCCTTCCAGAGCCTCCAGTCGAGTACTTAGCTAACCATCGCGTGCGAGACTACTGCCACGGGATTTGTCTGCCCTGGTCTTCAATAAATGATTCGATCCGCTCCGTATCGCTCCTAATTTCGCATGGTGCCAGGCAGGCGCAGCTGCCACAGGAGAAGATGAGGGTGCAAGTGCACGGGTTGGAGGAGTGCGAAAAACGTTGAGGATCATCTCCATCTTCCATCCTTGAATTAGCAGGGCAAGTTCAGGCCAGGCGCGCACAAGGTTCCAGGTGATGTCTTGGAGATCGGTATTGTTTACGTCCTCCTGGCCTTGTTTAGAGCCAACACCGCGATTGGCGCCCATGGGCATCCTCGTAGGTGGCCACCCACGCATACTTTGTCCTGCCATGGCGCGCGTCGTGCAAGAAAGTCCAAACCTGCAGGTTGGCGTCGAGAAGTCGGTCGGTGATGGTATCAGTGGCATTGGATCGGGGGTGGAGTGGACCAGATTTCAGGGGCCCTGTTTGACAAGTCGTAGTAGCCCATAGGTCCTGAGTGCCAGGGTAGTTCTGGGGCCAGGGCTGGTTTGGCCGAATGGGCATCGGCAGCGCTCCAGGCGGAATATGAAGCCCAGGCAGAGTCTGAAGGACGGTTGTATCTCATTGTCTTTGAATGCCAAGCGAAGCGAGGGTCAAAACGAGAAGTCCCCCTCCTCGTCCTCGTCATCGTCGTGTTTACTTTAGTTGGCTTTGGCGACGGCACTGCTGTATTTGTTGACCAGATCCGCTTCCAGTTTTGTTTCGTTTCCGTCGGCGTTCGTCCAGTTCCAATTCCGGGTTCCGGCGTCGTTTCTTTTTGTGAGCATTGTCTCGCATAATACAGAGCCGTTTTTTGTGAAAGTGTAGCAGACATGGTTTGCCGTGTACACGGCCCGCTAAAGGTCATCCCCCTTCCTCCCTTCCCCCCCCCTGTGTCCAGACCCGCCAGGTACGCGCGCATATGCTCTATCCTCAGAAGGGCCCAGGGCCTGGGCGTTGACGTCGCCAAGCTGCCAGCCAGCGAGCTGAAGGCGCACGCCACGCGCGCGTCGTCGTCGAGATTCGAGGCTCGAGATGTGTCGGACGTGTTTGAGGAACTCGTTATCAGTATAGTGGGCTTCGGCACACCCCGCCACCACGCCTAGGTTGTAGGTGAGAGGCCTCTTGGATGCCCGTGGGGACCTCTTGGGGAGGTGTTTCGGAAGCCTTTTGGAGGCGGCTTTGGGTTTTGGGGGGGCCCCGTGGGGGCCTCCTGCGGCCTGATTTGGCCCTCTTGGGGGTCTCCTGGGGCTTCTGGGAGGCCCCTTTGGGGCCTGCTGGCGGTCTCGGGAGTCATCTTGGGGCGAAGAGCGCGAAATGCAATTTCGAATTCCCCATCTTGGGGACCTCGGCCTTTGATTTGGAGGCCGTTGCCCAGCCCCGGGAAGATAGAAAACGGTTCGGGATGAAAAGCGGCCCCGGGACAGGGGTCGACGGGGCTAGCGGCTAGGACGAGGATAAATCCGTTCCAGAGCTTTCCAGAACGTTCTCAGAGCGTTCTGGAGCGCTCCGAGAAGTCCGCGGCGCCCGAGACATCCAGAGCCGCTAGAATTCAAAGATTCGATGATGTAGGAAGATTTCAGGCGCCCGTACAGGAAATCAGGAATCAGGCGCCCGAGGCATCTTCCAGAGCCGCCGATTCATCCTCACCCGATGTTATCCTCGTGCTGGCCTCGTTTGGGGGCGGCGGCGGGGTGAGCGGGCGTGGCGGGCGCGCGAGTCGGAGTCGGGCTGATGGGTCCTGTGCAGAGGACGTCACAAACATGTACGCAATAATTCGTGCAATCGTTCGTGCGGGATACGCACGTCGTACAATCCACGCGCCCTGCGCCACAGGATCAATTATTGCACGTTTTCGTTTGCGACCCTGTTACGAAAGACCCCCGTTGCCCAGACGAGGGGGGGGTCAAGGGGAGTCCTCCTTGTCGTCCTCTATTGCCTCTGTTGCCTCTAAGCGGTGGGCCACGTGCAACACTATGGCTACCAGCGATGCCGCAGGGACCCTCCCAAGCCCCTGGCGTGAAACCGAAGAAGCGGGGCGCCGCTGCTCAACCCCTGCTTACACGCCGCCGCCTCCTCCTGCTCCTCCTCCTGCTCCTCCTGCTCCTCCTCCTCGTCCTCCTCCTGCTCCTCCTCCTCCTCCACCTCCTCATCCTGCGGGCCTGGCCTGCCTGAAGGCACTCGAGAACTGTCGAGCCCCAGGCCACACAGCTGGTCGGAGAGGTCAGCGTGCCGAGGTGATCGGGAGTCAGCGCGCAGCGCATCGTCTGATCTAAAACCCTCTTCCCCCGCCCTCTCCCTCCCTCCTCCCCCTCCTCCCTTTCCCGCCCTGTGCTCCACTGCTGTGGTGCCCGGCTGGGGTGAGCGGCTCGTGCCAAGCGTTCCCTTGGACCTACCTCTTCGGAGGCAGGCCGCCGTCTTGGCCCTGGCCCCTCCTGCCTTCGCCTCCACGCGGCCAGCTGCTCGGCCGGAGCCAGGGGCCGCTCGTTCGCTTCTCCTCCCGGCTGCCTCCCTCCTGCGCATGGGGCACGGGGCGGCCCGGGCCTCCAGCGTGTTGTGCACTGCCGCCCGGAGAGCCGACTCGGCACGGAGGGCCCCGCCTGGGGGGTGGAAGGTCGGGGCTCCAGGGCCGCCCCTTGTTGGAGAAGATCGGGGCATCGGATCTTCGGCGGAGGGAGGGAGGAAGGGAGGGAAGGGACGAGGAGGGGAGGCAAGGGGAGGGACAGGAGGGGCGAAGTGATTGGAGATAGGAGGATAGAGGAGGGGGAGGAGGAGGAGGAGGAGGAGGAGGAGGAGGAGGAGGAGGAGGAGGATGCGGAGGAGGAGAAGGAGGAGGAGGCGGAGGAGGAAGCGGAGGAGGAGGCGGGGGCGGAGGCGGAGGAGGAGGCGGAGGCGGAGGCGAAGGCGGAGGCGGAGGCGGAGGAGGAGGAAGATGAAGGGAAGGATAGCAGTCGTGATCACAAGGAGAGACGGAGGAAGAAGAGGACGGGGAGGGAAGGGCAGGGGAGCGCAGGAGACGGGAGGGGGCGGCAAGAGGCGGGGGAGGAGGGACAGCAGCAAAGCGACGGGCGTGTCGGGCGCACGGGGGGGCATGCTGGAGGGGCAGGGCCGAGCAAGGCGAGAGGGCAATTCGGTCAGCTAAAGTCGGGGGTCAGTCTTGGTGGAAGTCTGCCAGAGACCTTGTGCGCCGCTTGGGTTGAATTTCTGGGGCCAGCCCAGGCCAAGCCGTGCCCTTTTCACGGTGGATTGGCCCTGGCTTGGATGCAGCACCCACACTAAAAAATAGTCAGGGGTTGCCAATTGGACAGGCAATGACGCCGAAGCGCTTGATCATTCCCCTTTCGGTTTCCTTGTTACCTCCCTCCCTACCTCCCGCTCCTTCTCTTCCCCTTCTCCCTCCATTCCCCCTGTCCTTCCTCTCGCCTCCCACCTCCGCCTCCCTCCCCTCCCCCCTGTCTCCCTCGCCCCCCCCCCCCCCCTCCCGCGCCCAGCACATCCCACTCGCTCCTCTTCCATTACCACTTACGTAACCGCAGCGTGTATCTCTGGGTCCTGAGCTTTCTGGTGACCCAGGCTCGTCTGGCGGCTCGGCAGATCGAGCCAGAGCTTTTTAGCACTTTCGGCCCTCCTGGTCGTTTCTGGGCCCCTGGGCTATCAGAAAATTGCCTGGGATTGCAATCGCCCCGAGAACGCCGAGGGCCAGCGACTCGATACGATGGAGTCCTCGGACTTCTCTCGTCGGATGTCGGGGAGGACGAGAGAGTGGGTGGATCAAGCTAGGCGCGCTCGCGCCATATCTGACGCCCTGCCCCTCCCATCAATCAATTCCCACTGCATTGGTGTTTTCTCTATCCGCTGACGCGTCTCATAGCGGACCTGAAATTCAAAATATGGTCCAATCTTCTTCTGCGCAACCAGAAATGGGGAGCTGCGTACATTGGGGGAGGAGGAGGAGGAGGAGGAGGAGGAGGAAGTGACGGATGAGCAAGAGGAGAAGGAGGAGGAGAAGGAGGAGGAGAAAGAGGAGGAGATGAAAGGAGAAGGAAGGAGGAGGACGAGGATGAACAGCAGCAGCAGGATTTGGAGTAGAAGGAGCGGGAGGAGCAGGAGGACCAGGGGAAGAGGAGCGGACAGAATGGGGGGCGACAACGAAGAGGAAATATTCATATCCAACAGAAAGGTGGCCCTCGCTGGGGCGAGAGCGCCATTCTGAACGACGGGAGCACAAAAACAATCCTTAAATGAGGCCCACGCTGCAGCGGCAGCACCATTTTGAAGGACCGAGAGCGAACGAATTTTACAAAAGCTCACGCACACACACCACCAACAACAACAACAACAACAACGACGACGACGACGACGACGACGATGCCGACGACGACAACGACAAAAACAACAACAACAACACCAACAACAATAATAAAAATAACAATAATAATAATAATAATCATCATTACAAGATTGGTCGCTCCTACCGGCCCGCGTGTCATTCACTTTGCATATCCCAAACCCTGGATACCCGCCCTCTTCGTCTTCAATCGTACCCCCTTTGGGGGGGGTTATATTCTTTCCTGGCCACGTGTAATTGGAGAAGCCCCTAAACAGGGAAACGAAAGGGAAAAGACAAACAGTCTCAGGCGGGAGCCGTTGTTGTTGTAGCCCGGGGGAGCAACAACGCAGTTTGACCCGGACTACATTGTGAGGAAGTCTCAAGCGGGAGCTCCGTTCCTGAGAAAATTGGGAGGAAGTCTCAGACGGGAGGGGGGGGTCCTGAGTAAATTGGGAGGAAGTCTCAGGCGGGAGCCGTTGCTGTTGTAGTCCGGGGGGCCAGGGGCACAGTTTGAGCATCACGACTTGCCCTGTCAAGAAACAGGGTGCGAGCGTCGAGGGGCACACTTTGATTGAGAAAAACAGCATGCGCCAGTGAGGGGGGATCAACAATAAGTGGCACGCGTGCCCTGGCTCTTGCACAAAGGAGCTGCGAAGGACTGGAGGCCCGGCCCAGGGGGGCTGCCCTGGGAAGCCTGGACGGAGGGGAGGTCCCACGGGGGGGTGGCCCAGGTGAGTTGGGGCTCAGGCTCAGGGGAGGGGCCGAGGGGGACGAACCACGACGAACCACGAACCACGACGAAAATAAAGATGTCAGCGGCCCAGGGGGGCTGTCCTGGGAAGCCTGGACGGAGCAAGCCTCCAAAGGGTGGGTGGCCCAGGGGAGCTGGGGCTCAGGCTCAGGGGAGGGGCCGAGGGGGACGAACCACCACGAACCACGAACCACGACGAAAAATAAAAATGTCCGGCCTAGGGGGCTGCCCTGGGAAGCCTGGACGGAGGGCGGGTCCCAAGGGTGGGTGGCCCAGGGGAGCTGGGGCTCAGGCTCAGGGGCCGAGGGGGACGAACCACGACGAACCACGAACCACGACGAAAATAAAGATGTCCGCGGCCCAGGGGGGCTGTCCTGGGAAGCCTGAACGGAGCAAGCCTCCGAAGGGTGGGTGGCCCAGGGGAGCTGGGGCTCAGGCTCAGGGGAGGGTCCGAGGGGGACGAACCACCACGAACCACGACGAAAATAAAGATGTCAGCGGCCCAGGGGGGTTGTCCTGGGAAGCCTGGACGGAGCAAGCCTCCGAAGGGTGGGTGGCCCAGGGGAGCTGGGGCTCAGGCTCAGGGGAGGGTCCGAGGGGGACGAACCACCACGAACCACGAACCACGACGAAAATAAAAATGGCCGAGCTCTAGAGCACAGCTGTGCAAGAGAATAATTATTCTTCAGAAATGAGAGTTCAACAACAGCAACAGCAACACTAACAACAAAAACAGTAAGGACCAACGCTTTAAATCTTGCGTGTGGGAAACAGTATGCGGAGAAGGCAGGACACTCCTTGGCCATCTTCGGGGGAGAGAGGAGAGCAGTATTCATGTTGGGTAATTGTACAGGGGGGATTGTGTACGAGATCTCAGGCATGCAGCTGGCTTCAACCCACGCCTTCGTGCGCTTTCCTCGATACATTGGCGCCAGCGGCACATGGAGGCGCAGGAAAAAACATGTGCATGCAGCTGAGTCGGCAACCCATTTTTTATACGCCCCCTTCGACCACCCGATCGTTCTTCCTCTCTCTTCCGTCTTCCTCTCCTCCTGCTGTTCTTTATGTCCATCGACACCTTATACAGTCTACACCTGGTCTGACAGCGTGTTGAGCATGGCTTTTCCCCCGCGGGTCTTGGAAATCTGGCCAGGAGGTCTGTCGGAGGCTATATTGAGCCATGCTTGGCTATCTTAGGCCATTTTGAAAACCATATTTGCATATCTAGGGCTCTCTTGGAGCCATATTGCGCCAAACAGGGCGGGATGGAGGGTCTTTGGGGAGAGGCTGGGAGGCCTCTTGGGGTCATCTCGGGCCCCATGGCTCAAAAAGACTAGGTCCCTCAATTAGCATCGCCCCCTCGGAGGCTCTCAAACGGCATCTTGGGGCCCTCTTGGAGCGCTCTTGGGCGCCTCTTGGGCGATCTTGGGGCCGTCGTCGGCCTTCTTGGGCCCCTCTTGGGCCTCTTTTGGGCCATCTTGGGGCCATCTTGAGGCTTCCAAAGCCCATCGGACGCGAAAAGGCGATAATGCCAAAAACAGTGAATTCCCCTAGGCTTTTGAAGGGTTTTGGCATCTTGAAGGGCGCCGTGGAGGGCTCGGAGGGCACTTGGATCCGTCTTGGGGCTGTCTTAGGGCTTCTTGGGGGTATGGCGGAGGCTATCTTGACCCATCTTGAAGTAGCATGGGCCATCTGGGAGGCCTCTTGGGGCCGTCTTGGGCACCATGGCTCAAAAAAGAGGGGGGGGGAGAAATTCGCCCCCCCCCCTCGGAGGCTCTCAAACGGCATCTTGGGGCCCTCTTGGAGCGCTCTTGGGCGCCTCTTGGACGATCTTGGGGCCGTCTTCGGCCTTCTTGGGCCCCTCTTGGGCCTCTTTTGGGCCATCTTGGGGCCATCTTGAGGCTTCCAAAGCCCATCGGAAGCGAAAAGGCGATAATGCCAAAAACAGTGATTTCCCCTAGGCTTTTGAAGGGTTTTGGCATCTTGGAGGGCGCCGTGGAGGGCTCGAAGGGCACTTGGATCCGTCTTGGGGCTGTCTTGGGGCCTCTTGGGGGTATGTCGGAGGCTATCTTAGCCCATCTTGAAGTAGCATGGGACATCTGGGAGGCCATCTTGCAACTTCGAAGCCCTCTTGGAGCAATATTGTGCCATCTTGGACGCTCTAACGCCTCGGTACCCACCCCTTCCTGGCCCAGGGGAGGGGGGAGGGGAAGGGGTTTCAGTGGAAGAGAGAAGAAAAAACGCGTTATACCACCTAAGCCCAGAGGGCTGGTGGGATTCGTTTGAGTGTCAAGAGAAACGCCGTCTGGGCCCGAAACCGGCCCCGAGGAGGCTGGACATCGGGCGGGGTTAGGACAGGGATAAATCGTTCCACAGCGTTCCAGACCGTTTTCAGAGCGCTGAGAAGGCCTCGGCGCCTGATACATGTTTCCAGATTGCTGGATCTCTCAGAGGTTCCCAAATTATCCTTGTCCGATGTTGCCCATGTCTTGGCTTCGTCATGCGACACCTTTGCAATGCCTGCTGCCTCGACTCGTTCCGAGCCGCGGGCGTGTCTGCGGGGCTCGCCGCTCCTCCCCGCCTCGGCCCGACCCCCGGGCAGCCTTGCCGGAGGTGGGCCACCCGTCCGAGCGGGAGTTGGCTCTGAAGTTGCTGCGGTTTCCCGACGTCATGGAGGCGCCCCCCGGGCCGCCCTCGCCCCCAATTCCCGAGTTGCCCCGAAAAAACAGATCGTTAAGAAAGAGAGGAAAGTGGGGAATACGCCTTCAGGGGGCTATTCGGACGCACCCCTCTATCAAGGATGGACGCCGCCCCATCGTAGATCCTGGAGTTTGACTAAATTCCCAACCATCCTGTGGAGTTGGGTCCTCGCTTTGGAGAGACAGTCCCCGCGTCTCCTCATCTTCCTCCTTCCCCTCCTCCTTCTCCTCCTCCTCCTCCTCCTCCTCCTGTCCTCCTCCTCCTCCTCCTCCTCCTCCTCCTGTCCTCCTTCTCCTCCTCCTCCTGTCCTCCTCCTCTTGGCCTCCTCCTCCCGCTCCTCCCTCCTCCCGTCACCCCCCTCACTTTGGCACACCCCTCACGTTTCGCGGCTCCATAGGGAGCTCCACCGGAGGCCCCAGTGGCATGGCTCGCATGCCCGCCCCTCCATTTTGGCAGACCCCTCACACGTTTCGTGGCCCCACAGGGAGCTCCACCGAAGGCCCCAATGGCATGGGTCGCATGCCGCCCCCCCCACTTTGGCACACCCCTCAGACGCTTCGTGGCAACACAGGGAGCTCCAGCAAAGGCCCTAGTGGCATGGTTCGCATGCCACCCCCCCATCCACTTTGGCACATCCCGCATATGTTTCGTGGCCCATTAAGAGCTCCACCAACAGTCCCAGTGGCAGCGCCCACATGGCGGCCCCGCCCCATTGCGGCGCACCATTGGCGCGCTTCGTGCCCATAGGGAGCTCCACCGAAGGCGGTTCCCACAACGGCGGCATTCACAGCTGCACATGGTTGGGCCTTCGCCAGGACAAGTTGTTGGGTCCAGTCGAAAACTCCCGAAAGTCGGGGATCGCCCTCACTGGGATCGGCATTGGGGTTGCTAAGGGGATAGGGGGTGATCAGTCGATGCCAAGGTGGTTTAAGTATATTTGGCCTGGCGTAACTTGGAAGTGGGTTGCACATGCCCCGGGTGGCTTTGGGGGGGGTAGCGATCTGGGCGAAGTGGGTTCCGCCCACTTAGCGGAGGTCTCTGACCCCCTAAGCAATTTGTAGCATGTGCAACACACTTGTAAGCAACCACGCCCGCAAGCCCCTTGAAAAGGTCATTCGGGCTGGTCCTGTAGCGCCCAAGAGAGCTTGGAACTCGAGGCCCTGGGCCTTTCAAAGAGCATTCGCAGATATCCATAAACTCCCATGCAGAGAACTCGAAGGGACGGACCTGCGGACACTCCATTCAGTGCCTCCAGCACGGTGGCGGATGTATGCAGATGAGCACTGGTCTTGGCCAGTCTAATTTTGGGATCGGGGCCGTTGTGTGCGTGTGCTTCTCTGGTTGAGCCGGAGGAGCGAATCTGAGAGTCTTCGGCCCAGAATGAGCCTCTCCAAGGTGGATGTAGGCGGCTAGTTGGCAGCTTCCTGCAGAGGCTTCAGTCCCGGTCTGCTTCCTACATGCGTCCCGGCGGCCAGGTTTGTTGTCGAAAATGTCATAAGGTCTTTTTCGGCCCATGCCTGTTCAAATTTGCGCCTCTCCTTCGAGGAGGAGGGGTGTAGATGAGGAGGAGGATGGGGTCAGGTCCTAGAGAGCTACCAGCTGCTGATCTTGATTGTTCGTAGATTTGCATGGAGCGCGGATCAAAGCCTAGATACGCTGAAGCGCCCCTCTGTGCCAGGCGATATTGGGCGATCTCCACTTGCACCAGCTCTCGGAACCGTGCAAGCTATGTTTCAGTTGTGCATCATCGTTGTTGTTTCCCTTGAGAATCAAGTCATGTAAGGTCACGTTCACGCAGTTGCATTCACGAGTTGGTGACGGTGGAAAGGCGCGAGAGTGTTGGTAGCACATCGGTCTGGTTATCTTGCATTTGCGCCCGCAGTAGATGATGATGATGATGATGATGATGATGATGATGATGATGATGATGATGATGATGATGATGATGATGATGATGATGATGTGATCTGTACCCAGTTGCATGCACATACTGCCTGTAGATCCAGAGTTGGTGGCGTGCGGGAAGTTGCTACCATTGCGCTTGAGATGTGTAACAAATAGCAAAGAGACGACTATACGGTGTAGTTGTCCCGATCTGTCGGTTGCCGTGGTTATTGTGTTTGTAAATACGTGCCGTTTGTTTCTTGCGGTTGGTATCTGTGTGCGTTCACTGTCTTTTGCAGCGTGCGGTTCAGAAGTGCGTTGACATATGGTTTGGGGCCCAGCCCAATCTACCGCTTTACGTGGATGGATCGGAGTTGTGATGTGCAAGTATTCCATCTACACAATGTGAGAATGTATAATTGGATTTGATGTTGCGCTTCGTGCTGCCTGGTACGCTGCGTGCAGACAGAGAGGATTACCTCTGGGAGCTGTGCAACCTCTACACCGCCTTCTATAGGGACTGCCACGTCATCGGCGAGGTGGACGTGCCGACAGCCGACGGCAGTGTTCAGAATCGAGTTGGCGTTGGGAAGCGGATCGAATCGGAATATGCGGCCCGATCCGAAGCACAATCCGATTCGGTACGATTTCCCGAGTCCATGCTGTCCGATGTCGCCCCCACGCGCTGAGCCCATCCCCTAACGCGATCCCCCCTCACGTCCTGCGAAGGACGGCCCATGTCTGATTACCCCCCGCACGCGATCCACCCCCACAACCTCTTTGAACAACTCTGACTAAGGGTGAGAAATTCATGCGGTGTGGGAAGCCAGTGGCGATGCCGTCAAGGCAGTAAGTTCTTGCCGCGCAGCCCGGGGCTGCGAAATGAGGATTAATTTGGGCTCCGAAATGGTCCAGTGTTCTTCAAGATGTGTCAGAGAAGTCTCTTGAACTCCCAGGAAGGAATTTGAGAGCCAGTTTGAGTAGATCATGGATTTTGTTTCTTGATTACGCAAGGTTCTTTTGAGCACGGTTGTGACCGCTCGACCGCACATGCCTTCTCCATGCCAATGACAGCTAAACTATGGCAAACGTCAGCCAGTTTCGAAGCTTGCTTCGCCTTTGGAGGTCTGCTTGTCTATCGGATTGTTGGCCCGCTTGGCCCTCCCTCAGGGTGGCCGGCCACCTCCCGAGGATATCGGGGGGATTCGAGGGGAACGATCTCCGTAAATCTTCGACGCCGCCGCCTCAGTCCTCCAGCGGAGCGGCCGTCACGACGAACGACGCTTCCGCCTCCCTCGTTTCCCCTTCGTCGCATCTCTCCTCCCTTCGGTTTCTCCGATCTCCCCCTCGAGGATCGAAAATTAATATTTTTGGGGCGGGGAGGGGGGAACGAGAGGAGAGAGGGGGGAGAGAGGGAGGGGGGAAAAGAGAGGAGAGGCGAGAAATGAGAGAGGAGGAGAGGGCGGGAGAAGAGAGAGGGGGAGAGAGAAAGAGAGAAGTGAGGGAGGAGACAAGTTATGTGCGCTCGCGCCACATCTGACATTCGACCCCTCCCACCAATTCCTTCCAAGTACATTGATTGTCTCTCTGCCGACGGGTGTCATAGCAGACCTGGAACCCAGAAAATGACCCCATCGTGTTATGCGCAGTCAGATTAACAGGAGTTACGTACATTGGAGGAGGAGGAGGTGGTAGATAAGCAGGAGGATGAACAGGAGGAAGAGGAGGAGAACGAAGAAGGGAAGGGACCATGAGCAACAGCAGGAGCGGGAGGAGCGGGAGGAGAAGGATTACACGGGGAAGGCGGGGGAGGGGAGAAGGAGCGGGGCGACAACGATGAGGGACTCGGATCCGGAAATGTGGCCCGCGTTTGGGCGATGGTGCGATCCTGAACGACGGGAGCAAGCGCCGATCCTAAAGAAAGACCCACGCTGCAACGGAGCACAGTTCTGAAACACCGAAAACGCTCCGAATGAAACATCCATATGGAAAGCATCGCGTGGCATCCGAGTTGCAATAAAAAATCATACACGGAGAGGGCGGGATATTTTCAGGACGTAGTTGGAGGAGAGAGGAGAGTAGCATTCACATGTTCCAATGGATGATGGTGGGTGGATGGAAGGGGGCATTCCTTCTCTCTGTCTCCCTCGCTCTCTCTATGTCTCTCTTTCTCTCTCTCTCTCTCTCTCTACCTCTTCTCTCTCTCTTTCTCTCTCTCTCTCTCTCTCTCTCTCTTCTCCCTCCATCTATCCATCCCTGTATGTTTCTGGTTAGGCCCCTGGCTGAGGGAGTACGGAAATCTCGAGTGAGGGTAAGGTCTTGCGCGCAGCGCTTCGAGTGATCTGATCCCTCTCATCACAGTCAGCCCCAGGACCTCTCCTCGAGCTCGGCGTTCTCAGGGTTTCGAGGCGGATCCAGCCGTGGCAGTAATGGCCCCCTGGGAGTCCCACAAAAAGAGACACAGTCAAAGATTTCTTTCTCATCCTGTCTCCTGTGTTCACCTTCCAGGGCATCACTTCCGAAGAGTATGCGGCGTTCGTTTTCGTTGCCTTTGTGGGCGTTGGAGGTCCCGCCAGAGCCAGTGCCATGCGTCATGCCCGCAAACGGCATGGTTGATACATGTGTCATTGCGAAGTCGTCAGTCGCACAGGCAGAGAGTGCTTTCACGAAGTAGCTTTGCTGCCGCCTCGGTCCTAGTCAATGCGTCCCCCCTCTCATCCTCTTGCATGCCCTCCTCCTAGCCTGGGTCATCATCCCGCTCCTGCATCTCATCCTCCCGCTGTCATCCTCCCTCCTAATCCCTCATGTGTTCCCTCTGCCATGCCATCCAGATGCCAATCTTGTTAACATCATCCTTGGCCTCAAGCCCCAGCGGAGCCCTGCCAGGCCAGATCAGCCCCAGGCAGTTTCGATTGTCTTGCCGTATGCTTCGTTCCAGAAAGCACTTCGTCTTCGAGGAATCGAGAATTGCGGAAGCCGACGGATGTGAAATTAGGGCGGTTCCGCCAGCAGAAGGTTTGCGGACGCCCGCGCAAGTACAAATTGTTTTCCCCAGATGTGCAGTTGTTTTGGATTCCAGATTTCCAGATCGAGCCATTTGAATTCTGCACGATCGTTCATCCCAAGAGTGATTTCATAGTCATCCTACCCCAAGCCAGTTTGGATCTGCCCCCCACCGCCATTGTTGTCAAAACATGTTCCGCAATGTACATGCACCGATCTTGCAAATGCATATTCGAACAAACCCTACCACCGTTTACCATGCGGGCCACACGCGCTTGCACGTGTCAAGCTTATGGAAAAGCATCGTTTCCTTATCAACCATATCGCACGGACTGTATCAAACACGGTGTTTGTTCAGCGGGGACCCAAATGTGTGGGTTCTTGCGTCTTCGGTGTGCGTTCTATGTGGTGCAATTCACCTTGATGGCACTTGCGCGTGACCACCTCCAATGTTCGTGCAAACATTATGCCCACCCATCCGCAATTTATTGTCAAAACACAACTGGCGTAGTCATGCGTACACCCTGCTCTTGCAGGCCCATGAGTGGGTCAGGCAAGTGTTGACGATGCTATTGGTGATGGTGGCGCTATCGGTGAGGGCGACGAAAACGACGATGGGGCTGTTGCTATAGATGATGTCGTTCGGGGTGATGACGATAGTGATGGTGACGAATATGGTGGCAAATACGTTGGCAATGATGACGCTGGCAATGATGATACCTATGGCGTTGAGAGTGGCGACAGCGTCGATGGCGATGGCGATGATGATGCTGGTGAAGATGATGCTGATCATGACGCTGAGATGTGATAATGATGATGATGGTGGTTGAAGGTGATGTTGATGATGATGAATATGGAAGTGAGCATGAATATTGAGATGACGATGGTGGTGATGATGATGGTGGGTCCGTAGCCATGTTGGATCAAGTTCCAACGAGGCTCCCGACGTTGGAGCTTGATTCGCAGCCAAGGGGGCGGCTCAAGGCCCCCGTGCAGTCAGGTTTTTTGTGAGCTCCTGGAGGAGCATTCTCTCGACCCTCGGCGCTCCGAGGGAACCGACCGCAGTCTCTCAGCGGTCTCCATGGATGGAGTGGATGTGGTCCGAGGGCCCAAGACGCCCTTCTGGGCGTGCCAGGGCTGCGGGCTCACAAGCAACTGGGCGTGCAGGCTGCGGTGCCGATGCGGAGTGAAAGCACCCGCCTACGTGCTGCAGCGCGCCAGGACGCTCGTTGCTGGTGGTGGGAGCCATGATCGTGCTGATCCTACTAAGGGGCGCTTGCCTGCTGCAGGAGCCAAGCGTGAGGCCAAGCTGGAGTCCCAGATTGCAGCGATGCAGAAGCGGATCGACCAGTTCAGGGGCGACGGCAAGCAACACCGAGTTGCTGGCACCCAAGGTGGCGGAACACCACCAGGCGGCCAGTCGAACGGAGGCGGTGGAGAAGAACAGGATGGCCTGCAGGCGAGGGCTCAGGAGCTCGAGCTGGCCAGCGAAGGATGTGGCAAAGGCGATGACACCGCCGAGGCACGCACGGTGCTTGAGGGGAAGCTCAAGATGGTGCGCGCCGAGATCGAGAGCAAGAAGCCGAGCATCACCCAGCACACCAACGTGGGCCACAGTCTGGTGCGCGCGTCGGCGAAGCTCGAGAAGGTCAAAGGGGAGCTCGAGGAGCACGTCAAGCTGCTCGCAGGGCTCAACGCCAAGGCCGGTGAGATCAAGTCTCGGCAGGCCGCCGCCGAGGCGGAAGTGGCAGCACTTCAACGTCAGCATGTGCAGTCTCTTCCTGGCGCTGCTGCTGCTGCTGCTGAAGCGATGCGACCGCCGCTGGATCTCAACCTTCCTGAGGAGATGCTCGAAGGCAAGGATGAGCTCAAGACCATGCTGGCCTCGAGCGAGTTCCAGGAGTTCGCGAAGTTGTTCACGTCGCACTATGCGGCTGCTGGTGCTCGTGCTCAGGCTGATGCTAGCAGTGACGCAGGTGGAGGAGTCGAAGTCCCCACTCCGCATGACGCCGAGATGGACGACGCCTTCACTGATGAGGCCGCCGCGGAGGCCTTCTGGGAGAAGCACAGAGGAGACAAGCGTGCTTTCTCCCAGGCGCTCATGGGGGCCAAGCTCAAGAAGCCCAAGACGGCGTCCCTTTGACACTCGCCCACCCTGGGCAGTAGGGACATGGCCGACGGTGAATGATGTGGGCATCTCTTCCAAACTTGTTGCCCGATGCAGCGAAGAGAAGCGTGATCCAGGTGCGGAGCCTGGAGCTGTCAGGGCGCAGCCAAAATTGCCTGGCGCAGTTAGGCCGTCGAGGCCGTCTTTTTGTTCTCGTGCAAGGCCTGATCCAGGGCCTAAGTGCACGGGGTTTCGCGTTTCTGCCCACGGAGTTGGCTTCCCGCCAAGATCCGCCGCCCCAGCCGACTAGACGGTCAGGCTCACGTGTTTAAAACGTATAATGGCAACAGCTGGGGCACTCTCAAGAAGAGATTAGCGAGTACACAGGCTCTTGGGGCGTTCGCTCAGGAAGTGGGCATTATCGAAAAA